CTTAGAAAAAATGATTATGCAATGTAAAGGAGTAAAGGACATACTAACTCTTCACACAAGGCATAATTTTTGGCTAAAAATACACTGTTGCCCATGTTAGTTAAAATGCTGTGTGAAGCCGAAAGCAGGCCTATTAATGACTGAACAAACCGCACACTTACCGCATGTTGATAGTAGAAACAGAATGATCCCTAAAATGATCCTCATATTGCTGCGGTTTCCAGCTAAATCTGGTTTATAAAAACAGTATTAGTGAGTTTCTGAGACACCCAGCGCATTTTCTGAAAGAAACAACAAATCTGGAGAACCATGGAGAGATGTTTAAATAACTCAATATGACAGAATACGTTTGTTTACAATTCAAGTCTTTCATATTCGAGTCTGCTGCTAGGCGTAAAACTGTTGTGCAGTTCCTTTGGACGAATCGTTTTAGTGAACCGGTTCTTTAAAGTAAACCTCTCAACAGTTCACCAAAACGGACTGAAGTTTCTCTCTTTGAGCGACTTTGAAACCGTACCAGACAGTCACTTTGACTCAGAAAAAAGTAGTATCCCAGAAAAATATACAAATCTAACCTAAAGCAAGACAAGCCATGCTAAGAGAATTATGAACTGATTCATTTCATCCATACTGGCGATACGTCGGACCCATAGAGGTCGGACCATGCGCCGAACAAACATGCAACAGCTGAAATTTAACACTGACAGGGGCGTCCCAGGAGGCGAAAGAGCCGGGGGGATTCCTGCCTGTGCTACATTACACAGCTGTCTGTCGTTTGCATTTATCCAGCGATTTTACTTTCTGTTTCTCTTAATAGTTCTTTTATTAGCCTGTGTGAAAAAAAAACTCTGATATTTCTAAAAAAAAAAGTATAAAACACTGGCAAAATAGGAGGATTTTTTTACTACTCAAAAATCAGATGGCAAACCAACACATGACACTATACTGCCTTTCTGAAGATGAAAATTTGAGATGCATGTTGTGATTTTAGTCCACATGACTACATACTAAACAGAAGTATCTATCACAAAAACCCTAGAGTCATGTATGTCATGTACGAAAAGTCATGTATGGCAAAATTGTGATTGTCACAAACACTTGCAGTGCCCTTAAATGAACACTGGAGGGCGTTATTTTCCATCATTTCGTTGTCTGCAGATTTTTAGTTTAAGTTCTGTCCTCTTCTGGGTTTAGTTTAGTCTTGATTTTATTTGACGTTATGTTGCTTTGGTAATGATTTGCCTTGTTTTCCTCCATTTTGCATTTGAAGTTTATTTTTTGTATTTTGAAATGAAGCTGCATTTTTATCCTGAATCTTGACTCTTCTGTCCTTCACATAAAGACATCAAGACTGTTGTTGTATTGTATATGTGTCTTCTTTAGTACCGGAACACAAACCGGTACTGAAATATCACAATGCAGAAGCATTTCATCGACTTCATCACTAAATTAGACTATACAAGAACGCATAAAGACACTGACAGGAGGTGCTCTCAGGGCTGGTTTTTTTTTTTTCACAGCACTTTAATATCCGTTTCAGTCAAGACCCATTTCTCTGTTTGCCACCACTGATCTCTCGCTTTGTACAGCTGAAATCTTCAGTTTTTTTTATCTGTTCTGATGCTCAAACTGAAGAAAATGATTCACCTGATTGTCTTCAATCTGACTCTGTTGTATCTATTTGGTAAGTTTTACATTTGTACATCTCTGCTGGAAAACAATTACAGCATAAACAAGCCTATGCTGGTTATCTGCTCAACCAGCCTGGTTTTTAGCTTGTTATCTCCCTGCCTGACAGCTAAGAGAAGGCTGGAAATGACTAAAACCCTTCTAAAACCAGGCTGGTCGACCATCTAAAACCAGACAAACAGCTTAGGCTGGTTAAAGCTGTTTTTTTTTTTTTCAGCAAGAAATTGTGTTAAAATCAGTGAGTTATTTTACAATCTCAGCTTCAGCTGTGCATTAATTACATTTTCTAAAGATGGCATGAAATTATCACTCAGTTTGTTCTCCAGGTGTGTCTGATGCTGTTACAGTGAAGCCAGTGATGGTTGGAGAATCAGTCACTCTAGAAATACAGAGAGACGGGGACATCGAGTGGAAGTTTAAACCCCACAACATTCTTATAGCTCAGATCAGCAGCAATAAAATCACATTGCATGAAAATGTTCTTGGTGGGAGTTTCAGAGGCAGATTAAAGCTGGATCAGACTGGATCTCTGACCATCAACAACACCAGAATAACAGACACTGGAGATTACAAAGCAATCAACACCAGCACAGGAATACTACTCGACATATTCAGGCTGACTGTCCATGGTGAGAACACCCTGTCTGATGTATTAACATTTAAATGCTGTAAATCATGGTTAGAATAAGTCTGATGGAGGAATTATGGGTGGTTGTAAAATGGCAAATTCATTTATGCACTTTTTTTATAGAAACAAACTGTTATCTATGTTGGATTGCTAATATTTGCAGGATGAAGTATTATAAGTCTTTATGACTCAAACTCATTCAGGGCATGTTTGCACAGCAAAGATGATGTACTTAAAATGTATTTGTTTTCGAAAAAAAAAATAGATTCATAGATCCTTTAAATCAGTGGTTTCAAAATGGGGGTTGGGAACCCCCAAGGGGTCGCGGGACAATAAAGGGGGGTCGCCTGGTGATTTCCAAAAATCTATTTATTCATATTAAACCATAAAAATTACCATATTTTATCAATAAACTACTGAAGAGAAAAATTGTTGTTTATACTATATAGTTACTACAGTAGCTTATAGTTACTAGTTCTATTGGATTGCGACCCCTGGGGTAATTACATAATTTTAAAGACTTGATTTTATAACGTCAGGTTAAACTTTCTGGCACATGTACAGCTCTGATATACATTAAAAAGAATAAACTAAGAATAAACTTGGGTCTATTGGTGTGTGTGCGCTATTGCATACAAGGTTTCTGTATATATAACCACCTCAGAGGATATTGGGGGTCGCGAGTCACTAGCATTGTTATTTTGGGGGTCGCAAGCTAAAAAGTTTGGGAACCCCTGCTTTAAATGGCATGCCAGGCCAGTAGGTGGTGATAACACTTTGTCAATAAACACAATATATGCATATGCATTCCTGGAGTCCTACATTGTTATTTTGGTTGTCTAGGTCTAATCGCCACAAACAAAACTTTTTCTACACATGAATGTTACTTGGCAATTTTTACAAATGTATGTTTTTCTTTTTGTTTTTGATTTACATGACAATAATAGTGTAGTTTTCAGTGTGAAGTTTGGGTGTGTTTACACTGCAATGATTTCAGCTAATATTATAAATGTGATTTACACAATATCCATCAGTGTCACTTTTGAGCAAGTTGATGATGCAGATAATCTGCTAAAGACATTTTATGTGTATGTTACAGCGGGGATACTCTGTGTCATAGCAACAGTGATGTAAAGTAACAAATTTCAAATACTCAAATTACTGTAATCGAGTAGTTTTTCTCAGGATTTGTAATTTACTAACTTGTTTAAAATGTGTATCTTTACTTTCCTTTGAGTACATTTTCAGTGCAGTATCAATACTTTTAGTCCTCTACTTTCCTTCAATCTGCAGTCACTACTTTTTTTTCTTGTCTATGGGGATTAGAAACATCAGTTTTGTGATTTCTGTCCAATCAGATCACACATAGAAGGTAAATCCCATCATAATGAACTCCCTCAAGACATGGGTGATTTATTGCAGCAGATTTGGAAGCATTAAAAGTGCCCAAGAAGATGTCCAAAATCTTAACAAAATCGCACTGACTCAGAGACTGTTTAGATGCATGTCACTGATGAGAAGATGAAAGATGTTTACTGTATAGTGACAGAAATGGTCTTAAACACCTAGCAGGCACAGGATGTCAACATGATGTCAGATTGACTAACCCCAATGTCGTGGGGATGCTGCATGTTGTTTGGAAATGAAAATCGGGGTTTGACATCAGAACCCAACATCGTTACGATGTAACACAATGTTAATGTCTAATGTCCAACCTAAAATCAAAAATATATCAACGTCTAATGATGTTACAGCTTGACATTGTGTGGACGTTACTACGTCTATCAGACCTTGGATTTTGGTTGCCATACCTGATGAATGAATGTCAGTATTTGACGTCAATATAACGTTGGTTCAAGATGTTGGCTTGACATTTGATTTTAGTCACTTTTTAACACAACCTAAAATGACCAAATATCAATGTCATTTGACGTCGTTATTGGACATCAAAATAAGGTCCTTAGATGCTGGCTAGACATTGAATTTTGATCATCTGATGTCACATAATCTAACTTTACATTAACATTTTATGATACTGTGTGCCTGCTGGACAATAACTAAATGTACTACAGAATTTTACGTTTACACATTCACAAATCACATAACGCATCAGCTTTTTATAGCGTAATACTAATGAGTACTTTGGAAAGGTCTTTTTACTCATACTTTGAGTAATATTTACAACAAATACTTTTACTTGCACTACGTTTTTAGGCAAGTAATGGTACTTTTACCTAAGTA